GTTGGGAAAAAAAAAAAAAAATATATATATATATATATATTTATAGCAGTACCTTTTTAAAAATTATGGAATAGCACATTGTTCTATTTCCTTGCTGAATTCATCTGTCCTGAACTACAAATGGGGACTACAGAATTCAAGTGTAAAATTGGAACTGTACATACTCTAGAAGCAAGTTCATTTTATAGCCACAATTAAAATTTTTAAAATGTGGTATATGACAGTGCTTACTGTGCTGAGAATTTCACGATAAATGGTTATTGAATAGATAAATATATAAGAATATTATGGGATGCAACCATTTGGTCACATATATCATATCCTTAAATATTGACTTGTGATCCTTTTAAGTTCTTACTTTTTTTGGTATTATACAGTTGCTTTGGATTCTGGTGTTTTTTTTTTGTTATTCAGAAGCACATCTCAAAAAGTTTAATCCTGTATTAAGTAAGAAATGTTTAATATGTCTCTAATACGTGTGCCATAGTCTGCTAGGCATTCTGGAAAATGCAAAGAAGTTTCAGATTCTGCCATCGAGGAGCTTCATGGGGGGGGGTGCATATTCACAGAAAGTTAAGTAGGAGGCAAATGTGCAAAAAGTACCAAAAGTTTGGTCAAGATAATACTTGCCTGAGAAATTTAGAAAGAGAAAGTGTGATGCAGGAGGTGAAATTTGATCAAATCTTGGAACATAGATTTGAGTGGATGGGAAGGAGGAGACGTAATTTCAGATAGGTGAGCACCTTGAACCAAGATGTAGGGCGAGAAGGATTGAAGTGTGCTCAGAGACACATCAGTTAAGACTTTTTTGATTGCAGGTGACCAACACCCAAACCAAACTGGCTTAGGCAAAAAAGAAATTTATTATTTCATCTAATCTGGAAGGTCCAGGGTGGGTCTGGCTTCAGTGACAGATGGATTCAGCACGAAGTCAGGGCCCGGTTTTTTTCCATCTCTCCACTCTGCCTCCCAATGTTGGCTTTAGTCTGGAGCTTCACATGTTACAAGGATGTGGGAAGCAATGCCAAGCCTACTATCCTTCAAAAATGGGGATTCATTATAAAAGTGAGGTCCTGGTGAAAATCTCCTTGTATCCTATTAACTGGGTTTGATGCCCATCCTGACCCAGTTGTGGGTATCGGGGAATGCAGTAAGCTCACGCTTGCTCCTGTCCTAAGCCCATCCCATCCTTGCCTCATTCTCAAAGATGAGACTATGGTCATTTTCACCGGAACCACACAGTACAGGAATGGGACATGTCCAAAGGGAAAGTGAGGTATGGTTAACTGTAACCGGAGTGGATGGGTGCCGTGTAAGAAAACCAAGTGTCCGCTAATGGAGAATAAGTCTGCAGGTCATTTTGAGTAATTACAAGAACGAGACACTGGAAGTTCTTCCTGTGAGCACATAGTGAATGTTAGGACAAGGTGTTGGGCTTTACGAGGAATTGTAAATAAATTGGACCTGGGATAATTGACCTGTCAGCTGTGTGCCCGATGAACTGGGGGTTGGGTGCTCAGGAGGGAAATAATGTGACCTCTGTGGTACTTCCCCATATTTCAAAAGCTGCCATGTTTGCAGAGTATTTGTTGTGTGCTGTGAACTATGGAGAACACAGAGGGGATGCCCAAGACTTGATCCTGCCCCTCGAAGAGTCTACAGTGTGGCAGAGAAGACAGTGAATTGGGGGCAATTGTGGTGCAGGCAGGGTGCACAGGGGTAGCAAAACTGGGTTTCGTGGAGCACAGAGAAGGAAGACATTCTTAAAATGAACCACAGTCATGGAGCTGAAAGCCGAGTGAGCAGGAACCCAGGGAAGAGAGGCCTATAAACAGGGACCCCCTCTGGAGCCTCTTTGAAAGCAAGTTGGTTGGGACTTCAGTCATTAGTTGTGTAGCCTTTGCGAATATTAGGAGGACATGGGTGGATAGGAAACTGCCTCTCTGTCATCAGACTTGGGCCTCCCTTGGAGTTAGCAGACCCAGAATGGGATTATACATGCAGTGGACCCTGGCTTGCTCTCCCTGAAAGAGAGGGGTTCTCAGGCCATCGGCATGGGAAAAACCTGGTCTTTGGGCATTCGATGCTGCCTGTGGCCAGTGTCTTCTCCCCAGCTCACTCTGGTTGGAACAAAGGAGTGAGCTACTGGCATGTGGTAGCTGCATTTTATTGTTTCAGTAGACATCAGAGTAAATGGAGGAAAAATTCTCAGGCCTTCTGCAGGAGGAGAACTGAGTTCTCTTCCTGATGAGCAGTGCTATTCGGGCAAGTCTCTCCACATGCCTGGGCCTCAGTTTCCCTGTTTATAAAGACAGAGCATTGGACAAAGAATGCTTGATAAATTCTGTTACAATTCTAAGAGTCTATAAATCCAACTGAAACAACCTTCACACCCTTATATTCCATGACATAGGATCATGACATGATCTATTTCCAAAAACAACTGCTCTGCAATTACTGTTTAGTGTTACAGCTGAAAGCGAGGGAGATTGGAGCACCAGGGTTCACCCACTGAGGCGGCGAACATTTAGAAAGCTGCTAACTAGAGGAAGTGCCAGGAGTGGTGAGAATTGACTGGTCCAAGGGGTCAGGGCAAGTGTTGTTCAAGAAGAAGGACGAGTCAGGGAGAGAATGTGGTTGCCCTTAAGAGGATCTGGAGAGATAGAAGTGAAAAGTGGGGGAATGGAACCACCCAAGCATGGACTCAGCATTGAGTGCCACCAGCCCCCACATTAGCTGTCTTGCAGAATTTATGGGGAAATGGCCCATTTCAGTGGCTACATGACTTGAAGGGATTGCGTAGATTATGAGGAGATGCAGTAAACATGGAGAAAGTGCCAACGAGAGGAAGGAGGGAGGGAGGGTGCGCTAAGTTCTGATGTGAGCTTTGTTTTGCATGTTTTCCTCTGATCTGCAGTTATTTAATTTTAAAACTGTCTCTTCCATCCAACTATGAAGGGGGAAAAAACAAAAAACAAACAACAACCAAGGCCTTCCATTTCTGAGCATCTCAGCCATTTAAAAAGCATTTGCACATCCATGTTTACCTACAGCAACTCGAGGACAGCGGGAAGGGATTATTCCTGTTCCTTATTTAACTGAGAACCGAGTAAATAGTTCCCATAGCCAGTGATGGACAGAGCAGAGTCACAATTCCTGATGACAATCTGGGTGTGCTTTTTTCCCCCACATCGGAAAGCCTCAGTCCACTACTTAGTATTGCGTCCAATGCCAGTGACTTTTTTTTTCCTCAAGAAGGTAGAAATAGAAATATTTTTTATGACCAAGAGGAGAGTTTATATTACTCTTGGATTAACTACAGAATGGTTTTTGTGTAAGTCAGACTAAATAGACGTCTGTTTTTTTACAAACATTCAACTCTACGCGCACAGAACATTTTCAGTTTGCTTTGAAAGCAAAATACCATGTGTCGTAACTTTACAATGTTTTAAATAAAGTTAGGAATTTGGGTTTATGATGCTGAAAATACCATAAAATCAGAGGGTAGAAGACCAGGAACTGTGTGTGTGTGTGTGTGTGTGTGTGTGTGTGTGTCCTTAAAAAAATTCTGCAAGTAGAAGAATCAAAGGTAGACATTTCCACAAGCCAGTTATTGAATCATTGTATTAACAATCTAGTGAAACGAGAAGTAAATTATTAAAGTTTATCTTCCTCGTTGATTTGTAACGCTGCTCTTCAGTCTGTGGATAGTTTTTAAAGCAGAGCAGTTCACCCTAACAAAGCCATTTACTGTACTGGTCCTATACTCTGGCACTCTTTTTCTCTTTATTACTTCATTTTGGAACTTTGATTGCCCCATTTTAGATCTAAGATTGCTCTAATGCTATACTGCAATTGTATGAGGGGCTTGGTTTTCACTTTGTTCTCAGAACCAGGCTGGCTATAAATTTATCTCTGTTCTTTGAAGAAGCTAACAGTAAATTTTCAAGAGGAAAAATGGTGGTATATATCCCTACAGAGGAAAAGTAATCTCTTAAAAGCAGAATAACCTCCAGGCTACATCCTTTCAAAGAGAGACTTTCAAACAAGGACGCCTTCAACTTTTATATGTGTTCTATATTTTTCTTCAGGCTTTGTACCTACTCTTCGCTCTGTGTAAGGTTTCTCCGTAATGACCCCGTTCCTCCCCACACCCATTAAATCTGTAATGAAGTCATGCCGTTCCCAATTCTGATGTCATAATAACTTCCAGAGCCACGGCTGGGTAGCACATCCTGGAGATGATCTGAGGTTTCATCAGGAAGAGAGGCAGAGAGATCCCGGAGTTGGAATACCCACATAATTGAATCTCTGTTTCATAAATTACCACATACTACAATGAAAATGAACTTTGTAAAGTTAAATCCAGGGGAGGCTTTCCGTTTGGTTTACTTGCAGTCAAAGCAGTCTCCAATTTCAGGGCACTGGTTCCATTCAAGTTACAGCAGTCCTTCCCAGAGATGTGGCCACCCTCCCTCATCAACAGATAATAAGATCATTTCAAATGAGGAGGTGCTAAAAGAACGGGATGAGCTTGTGGCTCTGTTTCCATGTCTGACGACTTCATCACCTCTCATCTTTATTGTACAGCCACCTGGAGCTGGATGTTGATGAATGAGGCACGCCTGGCGTCCTCACGTGTCAGACACACGGGCCTGGGGCTCCTGTTCACTGGGGGCTCTCTAGCTCGCCTGGGAGCGACCGAGGGGAATAGATGTGGAGCTTGGGGAAGGCCGGGGAGGGCTGGGGAGAGGTTGAACCCATCACATCATCCATCCTGCCTGTGTCTCCTGAGGTCATGACCAGGTGCTCCTAAGAGCTGCCCTGGGAGGGAGCAGAGAGCTCCGCAACTGTGGTGACTGTTGTCAATACAAGTGAGCCAGAAATGGACAGTTCAGTTGGCCAGCCTATGTTTCGGACCTCAGAAAGTTCCCCAAAGTGTTCCTTTCGCCATTTCCTTCAGCCTAATTGTCCTCTTTCTCATTTTATGCCCCTGCTAGACCACCGCTCTTGATAAGGAGAGGCAGGTTTTCCGACGAAGACGCAACCAGGATGTGAGGAGCCGGTACAAGGCCCAGCCAGCTCCGCCTGAACTCAACTCGGAATCAGAAGACTACTCCCCGAGCTCATCCGAGACTGTTCGCTCCCCAAACTCGCCCTTTTAATAAGACCCTTTTACTCGAAGTCCTAGCTTAACCCTTTGAGACTCTGAGGTTGTTTTCCAAATTTATGTGAAACAGTTTCATCTGATCTATCTAGCACTCAGTGCTTGAATGGCAGAACAGAAAGTGTGTTTTCTGGTGTCTTTGTAGTGATTTCTCTTTGCTGAATGAGATGACCACATGGTGTTTGCGAAGATGGCAACTTGCTGCTAATAGGGTCCTCAAAGGGTTAAGGCTAATTTGCAACTTTTTTAAACATAGAAGCAATGAATGTGTTCGTCAGTCAAACTAGGATCTGCAGTATTGTAATATCGCACGTTAACCCTCTGAGTGCATAGGATTTTATGGAGAACCCCTGGGGAATTTTTCAGGCCTTTGGATGTATACGCACACGCTTCTTGATTTTGCTGCAGATCAAGGATGTTCTTAGATGCTGAGATGTCCAGACAAGAAGGACATCTAGAACGATAGCTTGCTTGTTGTTTTTTTGTGGGTTTAGAATATAGCGGGCTTATAACTTAGACATAAGACCTCTCTTTCTTCTTCACAATCCCATTTTGCAAGGGACTTTTTTCACTAGAGGTATGACTGTCCGCGGCCGCAAGTCCTGCATCCCAAGTGGAGGCGACTGGGTCTGTGGCCGACAGCCTGACCCAGGAAAGAGCTGGCGCCCCCTCCCCCACATCGCCTCCACATGAAGATGGGCTGACGACGCCCCAGAAATGCTGCTTCCACATCAGTTGCTGCTAGTGATAGCGCAGACCCTCGGAAGTCACCGTACTTTGTCTTGTGCATGGTGAGTGAGGGTCTGCCTGCTCAGTATGAGACATCTATAGAAAACAACAACAACAACAACAACTGGGGGAAAAGAGCAATAAATTGCCAGGTGCTCTATAGGGCTGGGATTTCAAACAGAAAGAGGAAACAAGATCCTGTTCCTTTTCTCACCTGCTTTTTGTGCACTGCAGTCTTCAGTGTGAAATCCATATAGAGTACAGAGAGGTGCTGGGGCACAGGGAACTAGAGGCAAGTGCTTTGCAAGGTGGCCGAGGAGAAAGCGCAAGGGAAGGCACACTCCAGAATGTTCTAAAAATGGGTTTTAAGGAAATAAACCATTGGTAAGAGAATTACATGTGCACCTTTAGATTACTTATGTACAACCTCCCAGGAAGAACAGGATGGAAGACCTAGAAGATGCCCCTGAGAATAAAACTTCTGTTCCCTAAGATGACCTTTTGATACAACTGCCTTTAGCTGTCCAGAGAGACACGTTGTTTTTCTCCCTTTGGGCCAAGTCCTGTCTGAGACCCGTGTTTTCACTCCTGTTACCAGACCTTTCTGCCTAGTTCTGAATCCCCAGTGAATTTCTTCTGGAATGTGTCCCATTTCAGAAAGAGGGCCTGTCGCCTCCAGTTTGTCCTGAGGGGCTTAGAGAAGAGGCTGGTCATGGCGTCTTGGAGGCAAGGTCCGACTCAAATGTCCTGCTAAGGTTTGCTCAGTTCTCTGACCCAGGAGACAACCAGTGAGTGATGTCTCATGAAATTTGCATCTGGACAGCTGAACAGCACTCACTGTCTCTGTTTTAAATATACTTAGGTATCTGACAGTCTTCAAATTTGTATAGTCAGGTCTTTATTTTTGAATACACGTTGGTCTTTAATCACTGTTTTTCACTCTTCAACTCATAACTTTGGTCTCTATCAGTATACATTTTAAAAATCCCAACATCTCATGGCTTTTGCAACAGAGTTTCCCTGGTTTTTTGTGTTTTTTTGTGGTTTTTTTGCTCTTCCGCATTTTGCTTTGTCCTTTTGGTCTGTGTTGTCCTGACATGTAAACAGTAGGTCATTTATTGAGAGCTTTCCTCGTTTCAGAGAGTTCTGTAATGGTAGCACATAACATCATGAAGTAGCACAAATCAGCTGGTTTTTTTGGCGGGAGGGGGAGGGCAGAACACCAAGAAGGGGGTTGGTGTGTAGGTAGATTTCATGTTGGTAAAACACCTTGAACCAGTCAGAAATTACTGCTTTCTCTAGAACTACAAAGCAAAGCACTGTTCTAAGACTAAGGAGTGGCTCTGTCGCTTGGCCTCAACTTTAAATGTGTGTCTACGAAGAATCCTATGGGCAGAGACCTACCTGCCAGTAGCTTGTCACTTTCCTTTCTTTTCGCCGAATTACTGTCTTTCCTGTGGGCATTACGTACATTGCTACAGCATCTATGTACCGAACTTCTAGTGCACGGCTCAGGCCTTTTTCCATCCGAGTCTAGGGGGACCGCGGACCCTGTAAAGCTGGGGAGTGTTTCCCAGCATACCGCAGAGGGGCATTCAGCATGGGGATCCCAGCATATCATATCGCTGTAAAATTTGAGTGATCTGTGCTGAATAAACAGTGGAATGTGACCTGTCAAGTAGAAATATTGAGTAATCAGATGGAATGCAATCTTCAGCATGAAGCTATTGAGATTCTGAATGTCAGAGATGTACTCAGAGGGTTAACAGACAAGCACAAGGCATGCTGATTACATTGGTGTATCCAGACTGCTCTGCTTTTTAGCCAGTGCTTTCTAATTTTTTTCACAACATTCTTGGGATAGTTCAAGTTTGAAATAATTAAGTGGTGGTGTTCTTTAAGGAATTTCTATAACCAAATTGATCTTATTTTTTATTTCACTTTATCATAGAATAAATTATGTACCATTATGGCAGTGTATCTCTGTAATTATCGATTTCATCATTGCCACAGTGTTTCCATGTTTTTTTTTCTAAGTATTTAATATAGCTCTTATGGTGGTGGCCTGGTGTTGGGGACTGTCTTTCCTTTATTGATACATGACCAACCAGATGGTATTTTCAAGGGAATTTTTAGATTCATCATTTCAGTTGGATAGTAGACTTACTAAAGAAGAACTCCTTCATGACTTGCATCGTGTAAATCATCTCTGTAGATGAGAACTGTTCTTATTGATGAACACATTTTTTTCTCGACATTGTAGCAGAAATCATTTTCTTCGTCATAATCGATGAATATGTGATTTGCTCTACATCATTAGAAGGAGAACTAAAGTTTCAGTCACTGAAAATGTTTTTACCGTAGCCCTCATCTAACTTACACGTGGTGCATATAAAAATAAGCAGAGAAAACAAAATACAAATAAACTGCTGAAAACACTTGGTGTTTTGTATTCAGTGAGCCCCTCCTGCAACGCTCAGCACCCTCATGGGTGGTGGTTAACAGGCCCGTCAGATATTGTTGAAAGAAAGCAATATATCCATGAAGGCAGGCTAAAATTGCAATCCTTTACCCTTTGAGGCATATTTCAGTTGGAAAAAAAAAAAGAAGAGAAGAAAAATTGGTTTAGCTTAGAGGGTCATGGAGCTACCGTATGACCAAGGCCCGTGCACATTAAATCACCATTGTTTGCCGGCCAACGGTGCCCATTAGACAGCTCTGTTCCCTGCGCTGAGGTGCGATTGTGCTTGAGGGACAGCTTTCCTGTTATTGTGTTGCCTGCCAGCCCTTCTCAGGGTAAGGATCTGTCAGCATTTCCATGATAAACTTCTGTTTTCAAAGGTTTTTAATTTGACCATAAAAAGGTGCCCCGGGCTGAAGTTTGCTATATAGGGTCTGTACCAAAGAGTGTGAAGGTTCACTTCCTTCTCTTTTCTGCCCAATTCTCCCTAGAAAAGGGCAGCAGCACAACAAATTTGGTGTGTCCCCTTCTTCACCGTAATTGCGGAACTATGGAAAGCACCAAGATCCAAGGTGGTAGTTTCAGTGTAATGATTCATTTGGATGTGGGTTTGAAAAAAACATGAGTGAGTCACCTGGCGTATACTGTAGATAGCATATCTTTTCTATAATTTGTAAATTGTTAATTTTTTAAACTGCTACATGATTTTTTCTTTTCTTTTCTTTTCTTTCTTTTTTTTTTTTTTTGGTCCAAAAATCTTTAAGAAACTTGAAGTTGGTCATTTCAAAGGTTAGCCTTTCCTGTGTGTTGTCTGCCATTTCCATTAGGAGTTTGGGAAAAATCCTCTCAGACTGACCCTTACTTTGCATGTGGTGATAGAGGGTCAGATAAATGCTTCTTTTGGAGATACGGATTTCTTTATTTAATCATCAAGTTTCAGGAAGCCATTCATGTCTGTTGGGAAAAATGGTGATTAAAAGCACTTCCAAAACTAACATTTTTGTCAATTCAGATGTGAAAAGAGCATAAATTATCACACTTTACATGTTTTCTTTTGTTTGTTTAAAGGCAAATAAATCAAGAAAACTTGAAGACACTAAACATTTGATTACTCCAAATGTGCTTTAAAATTGGCTCAATGGTGCTTATACATAAAACAGTAACAAATGGGGTTCCTAGGACTGTCAGAAGGAATCTTTAATTTGTGTGTAATTACATACTGAGAAGGAGGTGCTTTTAACCCTTTTATTTTTTAATCATCTCAAATATGCAACCATCCATCCAGTAACATTAAGGGTCGTAAACTGGTGGGAAACAGGAAATTCAATGTAGAGGCTTAGAATGCCTCTGGTTAGGGTGGGCTTTTCTCCCCCTTCGGTTTTGATGTTATTGTTGATGGGCGTCAACACTGAAGCTGCCGTGATCATTTTTCAGTGATCGAGCTTTTAACTGGCAGGTGTTTTGATCATGAGGTTTGCAGTATCTTGCCCTTGGAGACAAGTGAGAAACCTAGATTCCTTCTTTTTCCCTAAAGGAAGAGCGATCTCTATAATTAAACTATACCTAAATTGCCTCAACGTTCCTTTTTGGTCAACTGAAATGAGACCCTTAATGTTGCTTAAATGTAAAATTGTATATTTTTGTCTGTGATATACTTTATTAATTTAAAGTAAATAATAGTTCTAAAAGCCTTCACCGTCGGTATTAAGAGAACGTAGGATTTTAAAAGTCATGATAAAGATGCTATAATGTCAATTCATTCCAGTCCAATCGAATGTGGTAAGAAAAAGACCTTAAATATTTCTCTA